CTAAAACAAGGCCCAGCATAAAACAGATGGTTCACGACTCTTTGTCAGGTGACTGGTTTATCTATATAAGATGTGGCCTGCTTTCTAGGGCTTCCTGGTCCTGACCTATTCACATTCCTGTCTTGTCTTCTTCTGCTGGACACCAACCATCCTCACCTAGATACCTGCTACCTGAGAACTCTAAAGCCAAGGCCTTCTGTCTCTGGAGTCTTTTTTGACACAAGGCAACATGTAAATATTATATGCAAGGCTCTAAGCAAGTGCATTAAAGAATGAATTTGAAGACTTGTGAACTTTGAATTTGCAGTTTTATATAGGTGATAAGAGATTCCAAATGATCTAAGAGAAGCAAAAAGTGCTAGTCTATTGCAAGGGATAATTACAAAGGGTTCTGGCCTGTGTGAGATTGCTTGCACTCAGAGATGACTAGAGATAGGCCTTGGGCTACCCAGAAACTGAAGAGATCACAATCTGTCCACAGCACACAGTGACTTTATATTGGAAACTCAGCCTAGCTCTCCATAGGCTGGTACTTTGAAAGACTTATATTTATTCTTTACTGAATATGTAGAATTATTTTAAATTCTTGGTGCCTTTTTTTACTTCAGAATCTTGTTTTCTTCTTCTCAGGTGTAGAAGACAACATGGTGTTGAAATTGTGCTAGTGTCTTTTTTGTGTGGAAAATAAACCTAAAAAACAAATTCACAGACTTTCCTGTTTTCTCCTTGTAAAGGATTCTCCAGCTTTCCGTTGCACAAACAGTGAAGTTACAGTACAGCCCAGCCCCTACCTGAGTTACCAATTGCCCAAGGACTTTGTAGACCTTTCCACTGGAGAAGATGCCCACAAGCTAATAGATTTTCTTAAGCTGGTAAAGTATATGGATCCTTGGTATGCTGAGCAAATTTTCAAGTTGGCTTCCAAGTGCACTTTGTGATACTTCCTTTTGGTCCTGACCTATCAGGACTTTGATTTGGTGATTTTGAATTAAAGAATCACAATGACTGAGTTGGACTGTCTTAAGTGGGAAATAGGAACTGAGTAATTAAGTGGGAAGTAGGAACTGAAGGGATCACTTATCGGTCAAATGATGGAAGATACTGTTACAACACACATGCATTTTTGAAAAATTTGCATAGTATGTCTCATCTTAAAATAGATGTGTTGTCATAGGGCTCTGAGAAGATAAAGTCTCCTGTTACTCAACGAGGAATGTAAATTTGTATTTCCGTTTGTGTTTGTACTGGGAGTGTGTGCACCTGTGTCAAACAGAAAACGTATCTAAATGCCTGAGGAGTGTTGCTTAGGAGCAAGGCTATAAGCCGCTATCAAATTAGTTAAAGCATGCTTTTCCATGATCATTTTTATCCATATCTTTTGTCCATGCCTCTAGAAAAATATGGTTTCTAACACAGTGATCTAGGCTGCAGATATCCCATTTAGAATACAGTCTTTCAGCATACTCTGTGTTTCTTTTGACAGAAAAGAAATCAGCAAGAGGATGACTGAGTACTGCTTTCAGACCGAGCAGAAGAGGATTCAGCCATGTAGGCCACAAATTCCTAGTGACCCTTGTGGGGGTGGGTGGGGTAAGCACTGTGTAAAATCAGCAGCTTTTTATATTAGTGTATATTCACCTGGAAGAAGATGGAGGGACTTTGCTACTTATAAAAATAACATAATAAATAGATACTAAACATAGGAAAGCAAACTGTTCGGATAATAAAATAACTTTCCTTGAAATACTTTGCTCCTTTGTTTCAGTCTATTTAGATTTATCTATATTTCTTTTGCTTCCATTTCTATTCTTAGTGGACACATGGTCAAACTGATGCTTATATAGAAATGGCTTCTTTATTTAAAAAAGATTTTATTGATTTTATTATTTTTACTTATTTTATTTTATGTGTATGAATGTATAGCCTGCATGTATGGAAGTGCACCCGTGTCATGCAGTGCTCACAGAGGTCAGAAGAGAGTGCTGGATCCCTGGAACTGGAGTTATAGATGGTTGTTATAGATGGCTATGTGGGTGCTGGGATTCAAACCTGGGTCCTCTGCAAGAGTAGCCAGAGCTCTTAACCACTGAACCAACTCTCTAGACCCCAGAAATGGCTTCTTTAACTAGAAAGTGATCATGAGAAGAGAGGAAGACATCCCAAGAGAGGTGGGAACTAGAGAGGATAGTGGGTACCATGTGAAAAGAAAGTGGAAAGAGGGCAATACAGGGAACCACAGTGAGAGAGGGGCATGATCGAGAACATAGGTACCGACACATGTATGAAGATGCTGTAGTGAAACTCAATACTTTGTATGCTGATTTTAAAAGTCTTACTCAAATAAGGAAATAAGGGCTGGTAAAATGACTCAGGTAAAAGCGATTGTTGCATAAGTCTGACATCCTGATTTTGATCCCTGGAACTCAGTGAAAGCAGAGAACTGACTCCCAAGAGTTGTCCTCTGACTACCACGTATGTACCTGTACTCACATACATGTCACACATGTGCACACATGTGAATAATAGATAAAGCATTTTAAAAAACATAAAATTAAGTAAAATTCTTCATTACATTTCCATGTAAAAACAGAACCTTATATTGCAGTAGAAAATCCTTTTCCTGCCTTGAGGCTTTTCATATACTTTGAGTTTAATCTTAGTTTGGGTATAGTTACAAGAACAGAGGCTTCTCATACTATCAAGCAATACCTTGACATCTGTATATGAGAGCTACTTTAACATATATTAGTAAAATGATCATAGATTTAATTATTTATTGGAATTCTGAGAGAACCAGTCACCACTATTAAAAGCCAACCATTTCAGTAATTATGCTCCAGTGCCCTAAACGAGAGCTAGTTTGCTTTGAGCTCACTGTCTCCCAAGGCACTTGGAGGGATGTGGACATCACAGTTTGAAGGCTTTCCATCTAATGTGCTGTCAGAGATACCGTCCTTGTTGCAGGCCTGTCTCTGAGCACACGAAAATGGACACGGCGTGCTGCCTGCGGGACGACAGAGCAGAGCACAGTAGAGAGTCCTTTACTGCGCTTAAGATAAGACACGCATAACGGTTAAAGAAGGTTTTTAGTTATCTTCGTAATATTTTATATTCAGGAGTTGATCTTTAAACTCAGCATATCAAGTACCTTCAGAAATCAGTTGTGATCAATGTGCTCTGAAATTATTTTTTCATTTTTTACTAGTTTTTTGAGGATTTCATATAGTGTGTTTTGATCGTATTCATTCCGCCCGAGTCCCCCGAGGTCCACTCCTCCCCCTCCCACATCCCCACCCACCCAACTTTGTGTCCTTTTTGTTTTTTTTTTTAAAACAACTTGTTGGCCTCCATCTCACAGAAATCTGCCTCCCGAGTGCTGGAATTAAACGTTTGTGCCACCAGGTGTCTCTTAACCCATGATAGAGGGAAATTAGTGCTATGGGTGATTAACTGTGGAAGCTGGCTGTATTACTTTTCTGTTGCTGTGATAAAATACCATGACCAAGGCAACTTACAGAAGAATTTATTTTGACTTACAGAGGAGTAAGAGGTCCATCATGGCAGGGAGGCATGGCAGCAGACAGGCACAGTGGCAGGAGCCAAGAGCTAAGAGCTCACATCTTCAGTGGTAAACACAAAGCAGAGAGCAAACAGGAAGTGAGACAGGGTTGTGGAAGCTCAAAGCTGGCCCCTCCTGACATGCTTCCTCCAGTAAGGGCCACCGCCTAAACCTCTGCAAACATTGCTACCAACTGGAGACAAAGTGTTCAAAAGCGTGAGCCTCTGGGGGACATTTCTCATTTGAACCCCCACACTGGCCTTGACAAAATGGTACTTAAGTAGTGTAAAAACATGTAAGGGGATGGGGAGATTGATCAGTTGTTAAGAACATTTGCTGTTCAAGCATGAGTGACTAGTCAGATCCCTAGAGTCCATGTGAAAAGATGAGTATGTACCTGTTATCCTAGCATTGAGGGGTGTAAACATGGATCCTGGAACTTCACTGGCCAGGCAGCTTAGCTTCTGGTTCAGAGAACTTGTCTCAGGGTAACAAGGCAGAGAGTGATAGAGGAAGACACCGGACATCCTGCTCTAGCGTCAGCATGTGTGTACACACGTGCCACCTACCCACACATGGATGTGAATGCATCACACACGTATACCAGACACACAAGAGAAGAAGAAAAAGGGAATTATTTTATGGCGATGGGAAGGAGACTAAGATAAAAACACTCAAGCAAAATCTGGTGAGTTCTTATAAACAGTGTATTTCTTTTCTTTTCTTTTCTTTTCTTTTCTTTTCTTTTTGAGACAGGGTCTCTCTGTAGCTCCAACTGACCTGGAGCTCATTATGAAGTCCAGGCTGGCCTTGAACTCACAGATATCCACCTGCATCTGCCTCCCAAGTGCTGGAATTAAAGGCATGCACCACCACACCTGGCATAAACAGTAATTCTTGATATAAAACATTAAATTTGTGTGGGGTTGCTGGAGAGATGGCTTAGTAGTTAAGAGCACTGGCTGCTCTTGTGGAGGATTGGGGTTCAATTCTTAGCATTCATATGGCAACTAATACCCTCTTCTGGCCTCTGCAGGCATTATACATCACAGGTACACTTACAGATGCAGGTGAAACCTACATTCATACACACAAAAGTAAATCAACCAGGGCTGGAGAGATAGTTCAGCAGTTAAGAGCACTGACTGCTCTTACAGAGCACCCAGGTCCAGCACCCACATGGCAGCTAACAACCATCCATAACTCCAGTTCCAGGGGAACTAGTCACCTTCCGACCTTCTTGGGCATTGCACGACACAGGTGCACTTACACACATGCATACAATACACTCATACACATAAAAAGAAAAGAAAAAGTAAATCAAAGAAAATTTATTTTCTTGGTCTTTTTGAGACAGGGTCTCCCTGTAGCCCCAGATGGCCTAGAATTCACTATGTGAACAAGTCTGGCCTTAATCTCACAGAGATCTGCCTGTTTCTGCCTCCTGAATTTTGGGATTAAAGGCATGCACCACCACTTCTGGCTTAAAATTTTTGTTTTAAAGGTTAAGTTTTTGCATTAATTTTCCTGAGGAAGTTATGGAGTTTACCTAAAAATGTATGTTGTTACTTTAGTATGTTTGATATGGCTAAGCTTCCCTGTGCGGTTCAGTGGCCAGGAACCTCGCATCCTGAGGAAGTGTACAAGGGTGCAATAGGGACGGGAATTCGACTGGACAATGCTCTGGTAGCAGAGAAGCTCCAGAGACATGGGACCCGAGCCGCCGGGAAAAGCCTGCAGGGCACCCACCACTCCCAGAGAGCCGCGGCCAGAGACGCCTGTGGCCAGACCCACCAGTGACTAGCCAGGTGTGGCAGGGGCCCCGAGATCCAGGGGTCCAGAGCGACCCCGAGATATCCACGCACACCACGCCCGAGGCCCATAGAGACACAGAGAAGCCTGCGGGACCAGATCTGCTTTCCCCCAGACACACGGCGGGGGAGTGCCATTTGGGAAAGTGCACCCAGAGAGAGCGCACGCCCATATCTGGTGCCCAACATGGGGCCCTCTGAACAACGTGGAGCTTAGCCTCTGAACCTCGTGCCAGCTAGGAGCTGGTGCCCACAGAAACGCTAGAATCCGTGAGTATCCCTCCCACTCAGGAGGGTAATCTAATCTCTTCCTCTCTTCTAAAATTTCCTCCTTTCTCTTCTGGTCTAAAAATCCTAGCGAGGGACCGCTAGGACCAGAGAAACAACTGGCGCCTTCTGGCCAGGGCTACGCCCTGGTGTTGGCCGAAGGTCTCTCTGACCTCCTAGGAGGACCCCGACTGCCTGTACAGGTGTGGACAAAAGACCCCTATCTAGACATCTTTTAATATCAAAACTGGTGACGCATCGGCCAAGTAAGAACCATTAGGAGTGGCCGCCAGCCTCTCAAAATTGTGGGCAGGTCTTGTGACGGGGAGCCACTGTGATCCCCTGGAATTTTTATTTAAGGAATGTCACTTTGAAAACCGTCACTTCTCAACTTTTCTATCTGAACACTGTTAGAGAAAAATCCCCAAAGATTCCAGGGATCTCCACCAAAGCTTTGGAGTCAGGCAAATTCCTCTACCCTGCCCCCAAACGTTCAGCAGCAGGTAAAAGCCAGTTCAGTGAAAATTCAAATTAGCTAACTCCTGCCGAGCGCCTGCAGCCAAAAGCAGCTCTCAGACAAAAGATTTAAAGTGACACATTTTTCCTCTGCAGTCTCACCCAAGGCGCTTCTGCCTTCTAGGGTCCAACTGCTGTAAAAAACATCTAAAACAACAACAACAAAAAAGAAAAAAAAAAAAAACCAACAAAAAACATCTTCCCCTTACAATGGGAAATTCTGTATCACGTAAAAAGAAGCTCCAAATTCGTTCTCTTAAAAACCTACTTAAATCTAGGGGATTAAAAATTTCAAAAGAAAAAAGCTTAAAATTTTGGAATAAGGTGTACCAATTTA